AAAAAAAGGTTGATTATTGAAACTGAAGGAGAAAACCACCTAGTTTCCTAAAATAAACTTCATGGTTGATGGGATTTATTGTCACTCATTAAATCTAGGACCTCTAAAACGCATAACTGAAATCAGTACTAGAGTCTGGTCTTGCCCTGCCCTGTGGTATCCCACTGGTAACAGTTTTGCTGTTAAGACATTTTCGGTCAAAAGCCAAGAATTAATTTAAATGGTCAACAATTTCCTACACTGATATAAAACTCTCCTAATGATAGGAATGGACCCCGGTGCCTTAAACGTACAAAATACATACAAATTCTATGGTTTACACTGAACACCCGCTCTCTCTGAGCATCTGGAATCTGGGTACATATCAAGCAGAGGCTACCTTTGTGACCAGCCCCTAATGAAAACTCTCAGGACGGGGTCTCCAAGAGCGTCTCAATTAAACAACATATCACACATGGTGTCAATCCCGTCGCTGGAGAAGCGAAGTGTGTCCTGTGTGATTTCACAAGTACTCTTGGAAGCCTGTGCCCATCGTTCCCCAGGCTTTACTCTCTGTGCCTTTCTTTGTACCGATTTTGCTTTGTATCCTTTTGCTGTAATAAACCACAGCTGTGAGTATGACTGAATCCTCCCGGCAAATCACTGAATGGAGATGAGGGCTTGGACGAGTAATAATTGTAAACGAGTAAACAGTCCAGTCTAGAGTCAGCATTCCATTTGAATATACAAATGCATCACCAAAATTTCCTTTACTTTAGCAAAAAGTTAGGAGTGAATGGATTACTTACGAAAACAGATCAAACCACTGCTGTTTTGTAACAGATTCCTGGCGTAAAAGCTTCAAAACAATTGGACGCATGAAATCCCATTTGTCTTCAAACTGAAGTGAACCTTTATTCTTAAAAAAAAAAAGATAAACAGTAGTTTAATTTAAATGCAGATAAATCAGAAGTGTCCATTATTTTTGTCTTTTAGAGTTAGCTAGAGAAACACAAGGCTGGACATGTAAAAGAATCGTTTTCTATAATGGAATCCCTAGAAACTTAATCTGGTTTCAGAGAATCGCAGGAAGACACCACAAAAAAGAAAACTAATTGTACAAACGTGGAAAGAATTTCGCCTTGCCCAAGGACAACTTCTGACCTTTGTCCTTGACTTCTGGTAGTTAATCTCTGGGCTGTTAGAATGTACATCTGATAAGAGAGTTTTTGTTCACCTGGTAACCTTGGTACAAACTGGACAATCTAACAAATGTGATTCAGGGAGGGAGCTGGCCACACCTATGGAGTCCTTAGGGTGGGGGCTGACCAATCCAGAAACACCAGCGTAACTATGGGAGGTGGTTTTTGGTTAACCAAAATGGAGACCGAGATGACTCACAAGTAATCAGTCAGTCGTGCCTACATAACGACGCCCCAATAAAAACTGTGGACACTAGGGGTGCTGACTAGCTCGGTGGGTGCAACATGCGATTCTTGATCTCAGGGTTGTGAGTTTGACCCCCAAGTTTGGTGAAGAGAGTACTTAAAAATAAAAATTAAAAAACGAAACAAAAAACTCTGGAGACTAAAGGTTGGATGAGCTTCCCTGGCTAGTGTGGAGGCCTCTTTTAAGTAAAGGGCCCACAGCAATCCCCTGACTGAATACCGACAGACCCACGAGGTGACCCAGCTCAAACTATCCATAAGCCCTAACTGACCAATGGGCTACTTACAACCAGGCACAGTTACCAACAAAGGGGAAATTCGTTGTGTCCCCATACATCCTCACCTTTCTTCTTTAAGTATAGCCTTCATCCCCTGCCTCGTAGCAGACAGTCTCTCCTCGGCTGTCCTGCCTGCCACTCCCTTGCAATTCATTCAATGAACTTCTATCTCCTTGCTGCTGCCTTGGGTGAATCCTTTCATCGCCCACACCACTGGCTTCCACCTCATTGTCACCCCCCATTTGGGGGCCCCCATCTGATCGAGAGGGCCACCACAGCTAGCAGGACTCCACACACACTGTCACACATCAAGGCCAAGATAGAGAGGTGATCTGACTACAGTGGAGAGGAGGAGGAAAGCTTCGTGTCTGGAACTCTCCTAGACTCTGCCCTATGTGTCTCTTTCTTTGGCAGATCTTATCTGTATCCTTTCTCATAATAAACCATACCAGGTCTATGAGTCGAATTAATTACTGAACCTCAGGATGGTTTTGGGAACCCTCCAAACTTGTAGCTGGTATCAGAAGTGAGGGTGGTCTTGTGTGTGGAGACTGAGCCTTCTGATTTCATAATTGCCCTAAATTGCCCACAAAAAGTGTAATGAAAATCTACATAAACTGTGAAAACTGAAAGAAAAAAAAAAACAACAAAAGAAAAGAAAAATACCCCACTCCTTTTTTAATGCTAACAAAATACTTGACCGCGAACTGCTGAGAAGAGCACAAGAAATAGAAACTGTATACAGATGTAATGAGAACGTAGATGCCAAAATCTTAAACATTAGCAAGCTAAGGAAGTGGCATGTCAAAAGAATGGCACTTCATAATCACGCGTGGTTTATCCCACGAATGTGGAAGTAGCTGAATATTAAAAACGGTCATCAATTCATTACATTACTAACAAGACAGAGAGACTGTATGTGTTTAGTCAATTACTACTATTCCTTTTCAAGGTAACTGGGGCCACGGGACTTGCTTTCACCAATAAATTTCCACAAAAGTCACCAATTTTCGAACATGCCTATGAAACATTTACAAACACACCTATGAAACTCATGATTGTTTTTACTATATATAACATTGCTGAAGAGGACACTCACTTATAGCAGATAAGGTTCCAGACTGATGGCATGGGACCCGAAAATTCCCTGAAATTATAACCCAGGAGAGGTTTCTAAGCATGTGGTCTAATCAGAACCTACACCAGAATCACCTGCTGTCGTAGTTTCACATATACATTTCTTTTTTTTTTTTTTTTTCAAAAATTTTTTTTTTCAACGTTTATTTATTTTTGGGACAGAGAGAGACAGAGCATGAACTGGGGAGGGGCACAGAGAGAAGGAGACACAGAATCGGAAACAGGCTCCAGGCTCTGAGCCATCAGCCCAGAGCCCGACGCGGGGCTCGAACTCCCAGACCGCGAGATCGTGACCTGGCTGAAGTCGGACGCTCAACCGACTGCGCCACCCAGGTGCCCCACATATACATTTCTAAAACTTACCTCAGACCTACCAGATCAGAATCTCTTAAGTTCAGAATCAGCATATTTAGCAAATCCATGATAAAACTACATAAAAATGTTGGAGGGTTTATGACCAAACACAGGCTAAGAACTACTGACTAACACTAAACTCTTGTGAAAGCAAGTGATGCTTTTTGCATCCATAGACAATGTTTCTTTTTTCCTTTTAATCTTTTTGACAAAGGTAGACTGTCACATGCAGCACTGCATTCGACATGTCTGGAGTCCTGGAAGCCTGACCACCCTACACTACAAATGGACCCTGAGAGCTTGTTTGGAGGCTCTAGCAGAGGAATACGGCTCATAAGCCCTTGACCAAAGAATGGTGCTCCTCTTTTGGCGAAGGTCATCCCCTTCAACCAAGCGTGCACATGAAGAGGGTCGCACGTGGGAGTGGTGAGGGAGGAAGGGCACACCCACCTCATCAGCCAGATCAACCAAATCAACCCTGGTAATCGATGAGATGACAGAGGTCACAGCCAGATCATGCTCGCATCCTGTATCCATGAACAATGATGATCCTAAAAGTTACTGAACTGTCTTGCCCCAGGTACCTATTTTAATCACAGTATTCTTATTATAAGCACCCACGAGTGTATTCACTCAAAATTTTGTGCGAGGATTAGTTGTGCTTCTCCCCTGAACAACTAGTTTGTTTTTACCTTATGGACTTCAGTGAATCATGTAGGTAACTTTCCTCTCAGTGTTGACTATGGAGAAATTCAGAGTTAGATTTGTAATTCTACGGCATAAATTCTGTGTACTAACCTTACGGCCGGCTTCACTTTTTCTACTGTTCCCTCTCAGGAAGGAGCATGCAAACAAACAAGTTGGAAAGAACCAGTGAAAGTTTTCTTGACTAAGACATGCAGAATCATTATATATGCCCTTAATTAGAGGATACATTATAATGTCAACTAAGTCCATTTCCATAAGCAATTTTGGCAATTTGTAAAATTAAACATGGTATAAATCTTATAATTAAAAATCAAAAAGGTACAGAGAACTGGAGTAAACAGGTCTTTGAGATAAATACTCGTTAGACTCTGAAATCTATTAGCTATGGCAAAATAACAGGAAATACATTTTGGGTCTTCTGTTTGTTGAAACATTTTCCCCAATACTAAATTAAAAACAGAATGCAATAACTGAATGTTTTCTATTATTCTTTGATCCAAAAAATGGTGCTCAAGCAATTCTTTGGTCTATTCTCTGTTAAACTGAAGAGCACTTCATTAAATCATAACTAAGCAGCAGGACACCAAATCTATCTACAAAAGAGAATGCTTTATTAATATGTGAAGGGACTTTCCAATTATGAACCCTGATTTATGAATGCTTCCATTGGCTAACTGAAGGCTGCCTTATCTCTATTAATTTGCTGCAAAGTCTCTTCTGCTTTCTTCCACTATTACTCAGAACAGCAAGTAGGCTGAACTCACCAACTGCTACTATCTGGGAATATCTCACCCCCTGGCTCTTTCACCAAGAAGATTTCAGCATCTGCCACATCCCTGCCCTCTATCCTTTCTTCCTTTCAGCCCAACTCCCTCCCTCACAGGTATTCTTCTCAAACACACAGAAAGGTTATGGGGAAGCCAGGGAGGGGCAGGTCCTGAAGGATACCTCAAGAAAGAGTATTTTAGACAGAGGAAGCAGCCCTTGTAAAGACCAGAGTAGGGGCACCTGGGCGGCTCAGTCGGTTAAGTGGCCAACTCTGGCTCAGGTCATGATCTCGAAGCTCGTGAGTTTGAGCCCCGCACGGGGCTCTGTGGTGACAGCTCAGAGCCTGGATCCTGCTTCAGAGTCTATGACTCCGTCTCTCTCTTCCTCTACCCCACTTGTGCTCTATCTCTCTCTCTCTCTCTCAAAAATAAATAAATATTAAAAACAAATTTTAAAGGAGGCACTAAGCAGGATTTCCTGACAGTATGCATCTGGGATGAGAGAAAAGAGTAAAGCATGACTCTAAGGCTTTTGTCTGATATGTTAAGACCCACAAAATGGGGTCCACTGCAGGGGCCCAGCCCATGTCCAAATCTAAACTAAGTCAGCCTGCAGTTGGGGAAAAACCTTACTGCCAAGGAAACCTAACACCAATCACAATCCTCCTACTCAGCTTTAGTTAGCTTATTCTACCCTACAGCAGAGGACCTACTTGCTTTATAAGGAAATCTCCAACATCCTAACCAATCAGGCCCTGTTTTTGTCCTGCCTCTTCTAACATTCTATAAAGCTTTCCCTTGCCACAAACCCTTTAGGAAGAGTGTTCCACGGGTTGTTAGGCACTGTACTCCCTCAATCCATAGATCATCTTCCCTGGCATCAAGGGCATCAAAGTTGTTACTAAACTGTTTTAGTTTTGTCGTTTGACACGTCCAAGGAGTATGGCACTGCCGTCAACTGAAATGGAAAAAACTGTAGATGGAACAGGCTAAGAAGGAAAGCCCTGGAGTTTGATTTCAGACACATTACACCTGACACATATATTAAACAGCCCTTTGAAGATGCGGAATTAGCTGTTTCATAAGAAACTCTAGAATTTATAGAAAGGTCTAGGCAGGAAATTAAAATATGCAAGTCACTGGAGTACAGATGGGTTTTACAACTTGTTACTGTCACTACCAAGAGAGTGAATATGAGAGAGAAGAGGGCCAGGCTCGAGGCCTTAG